ACAAATTTAGATGTTAGATTCTTATTTCATAGAATCATAGAGTCCTAGAGTTGGAGTAGACCACAGGGGCCATTGAGTCCAGCCCCCTGCCAGACAAGAAGACGCCATCCGAGCAATTCTGATATATAAGTTGTCAGATATTTGTTTAGAAACCTTCAAATGAAGGAGATCTTTCAATATTGATGTGAAACTCAAGATCCTTGACATATGTTTAAGATAAAAATTTAAGATTAACCATTTGTTTTAGAAGGCAATAGGGCAAGAGGTGAGCTGGTAATTAAGATTCCATGTAAGATATATTATTACTTATTTGTCATTTATATATAGCTCTTTGTCTCCCTTATAAGGACAGGAGGATATGAGTGTATTTTTGTGATTGGTTATACTAATCAGCCAATAGGAATTTCAACCAGGCTGATGGGACAGAGGCAGCCCAAGGAGGAGCAAAGGGGGCTGGATTAAGGGAATATAAGTGCTGGCCATAATGGCAGGAGGCCAGGCCAGAGCTTGGTAATCATATACCACTGTGCCTCTCATTTATTTGTCTGACAAATAAATAATTATTTAATTTCTCTGTTGCTGCGTTGAATATTTCATTCCAGCTAAGCGTTAACCACAAGCAGGGTGCTACATCCTGTTCCCCTCTCCAATAACAGACATATTTTGTTGTTGTTGTTGTTTAGTCATTTAGTGGTGTCCGACTCTTCGTGACCCCCTGGACCAGAGCACGCCAGGCACTCCTGTCTTCCACTGCCTCCTGCAGTTTGGTCAAACTCATGCTGGTAGCTTCGAGAACACTGTCCCACCATCTCGTCCTCTGTCGTCCCCTTTTCCTTGTGCCCTCCATCTTCCCCAACATCAGGGTCTTTTCCAGGGAGTCTTCTCTTCTCATGAGGTGGCCAAAGTACTGGAGCCTCAGCTTCAGGATCTGTCCCTCCAGTGAGCACTCAGAGCTGATTTCCTTCAGAATGGAGAGGTTTGATCTTCTTTGCAGTCCATGGCACTCTCAAGAGTCTCCTCCAGCACCAGAATTTTACATTGTTTAATTCTGTAGATACCACAATTGCCTTTTAACCAGGACCATTAATATGTTTCTAGCTATCTGTGTTTTATTTGCTTTTAAATTTAGGTAGGTAGCCATGTCGGTCTGACACAGTCAAAATAAATAAATAAATAATAAAAATTTGTCCAGTAGCACCCTAGAGACCAACTAAGTTTGTTCTGCGAATAAGCTTTCTGAAGAAGTGTGCATGCACATGAAAGCTTATACCCAGAACAAACTTAGTTGCTCTCTAAGGTGCTACAGAAGACAGGAGGGCCTGGCGTGCTCTGGTCCAGGGGGTCACGAAGAGTCGGACACAACTAAATGACTAAACAACAACAACAAGGTGCTACTGGACAATTTTTTTTAATTTTTTATTGTTGGCTTTTAAGTTTTCTTTCGTGAGCTGCCTTGCAATCCCATTCTGGGAGAAAGACGGGATATAAATGAATAGCATTCTTATTCTTATACTTCTATTGTTTCAACAAGTCTTCAGGAATTTGCAGGTGGCATACATAATTATGGAACTGTAGAGTTGAAAGAGGACCCCAGGGGGTCATCGATTGGACCGCAACTAAAGAATCCCTGACAGATGGCCAGATATACTTATCTCCATAATAGAGTGTGCTGACAAAGGTCCGTATAGTTCAAGCTCTGGTTTTCCCAGTAGTGATGTATGGAAGTGAGAGCTGGACCATAAAGAAGGCTGATTGCTAAAGAATTGATGCTTTTCGAATTATGGTGCTGGAGGAGACTCTTGAGAATCCCATGGACTGCAAGAAGATCAAACCTCTCCATTCTGAAGGAAATCAGCCCTGAGTGCTCACTGGAAGGACAGATCCTGAAGCTGAGGCTCCAAGACTTTGGCCACCTCATGAGAAGAGAAGACTCCCTGGAAAAGACCCTGATGTTGGGAAAGATGGAGGGCACAAGGAGAAGGGGACGACAGAGGACGAGATGGTTGGACAGTGTTCTCGAAAAGACCAGCATGAGTTTGACCAAACTGCGGGAGGCAGTGGAAGACAGGAGTGCTTGGCGTGCTCTGGTCCATGGGGTCACAAAGAGTCGGACACGACTAAACAACTAAACAAGAACAACAACAATACTAGGCTGAGGATCACCTGCAGATCCATCTCCTGTCAAACACACAAACACCGGAAAAGAGAGGGGGGTAAATTCTTCCTAATAATTTGGCAACAGCTCTGCCCTCCCCCATTAAAACATGCCAAGAGACCGCAGGTGTTGTTTTCCAAACCTGCCTGCCTGCCAAAGGCTGTCCTTTTAATTTGCTGGAGCTCAGATCTCAGACGTTTGTTAGCCTCCAGGAACCTGGTGCCGTTTCTACGTTTTAGACCATCGCTTCTCAAACTTTTTCCTGCCACAAGCCCCTCGATTCCATAAATTAATCATCGATTTCCCCTACGCAGTAAAAAGTATTATTCTGAATAACTGTTTGCATGAGCCAGTAAGGTCTATAAAAACACCATCACATTCAAATCAGGAACGATTAGTTGCACATTTATTCCCAATCCCATTAAAACTATTTAGTTCAATTAATTCGACAAAAGTGACGAACTTGAGCCAGTGATGTCGGCTTTTCAAAGCAGAGAGATTTCATTTTCATTTCATTTTCATTTCATTTGTTTCATTTTCACTTCCATTTTGCACACCGCAATGCGGTCCGCAAGCCGCAGAGACCATTCAATATGCCGCAAAGATCGCTCATTCTACAACAGGGGTCAGCAAACTTTTTCAGCAGGGGGCCGGTCCACTATCCCTCAGACCTTGCGGGGGGGCAGACTATATTTTGAAAAAAATAATGAACAAATTCCTATGCCCCACAAATAACCCAGAGATGCATTTTAAATAAAAGGACACATTCTACTCATGTTAAAACACACTGATTCCTGGACCGTCCGCAGGCCAGATTGAGAAGGCGATTGGGCCGGATCCGGCCCCCAGGCCTTAGTTTGCCTACCCATGTCCTACGACAACCTGATGCAATTACGGTAAGTCACAATAAAGATTGTGACTTTATAATAAACCACCTAGAGCAACATTCAGTGATCCGCTTGGAATATAATGTGACGCAAGAACTCTCCAAATATCGGCAAATAGTAATGAAAGTTGCAGTAAATTGCCACTCAGCTGTGATTGAGAAAAACAACAGCAGATTCATGAGACACGGAAGACAAATGAGATGTAAAAGACCAGACAGGGAGATCAAACTGAGCGACCAATAGAATTTTATAAAATCACGAAATGCACAAGCCTAAGTGTTTTCCCCTGGTCTAGGCTATTGTGTGGGTGCTTTCGGAAACTTGTGCAGATGAACAGCACCCAGTCCACCCCGCGGAAGCACCCACAAAACCTCAGAAAGGAAAGGGTACCTGGAAGCTGTCTGCATTTGACAGGGGAGCAGGGATGAGAATTGACGCTATGGGGGAAGAGGCGATGGGAACCCTACCCTTATGGTGTAGTGGTCAGAGTGTCGGGCAAGGCTTGGAATCAATTTGATTCCCTTCCCCTCTTCTTTTTTCCTTTCTCCTCCTGTGATGGAATTCCATTTGGGGACTTCCCTGGCTTTTTTTCTGGCCCATGAAGGACCAGTCTGGAAAGTTAGCCTTGGTGAAGACTTGACGCTTTCATCCCCCAAGAAGTTTTTGATTTGAGTCTCCATTGAAATGAGGCTGTGTTTTAATGTTTTGATGTTGTATTTTAATCTTGTTTTTCAGTTGCATTTCAATAAATTTGTTTTTATATCGGGTGTTAGCCGCCCTGAGCCGGGTCTTGGCTTGGGACGGTGGGGTATAAATAAAATTCATTATTATTAAGGACCAGGGTTCGAATCACTGCTCGTCCATGAAACCCACTGGGTGAACTTGCGGGCAATAACTCACCCTTAGCCTAGCCTACCTCCCAGGGTTGTGGGGACGGTAGAACCGTGCAATATACAAATGAATGAATGAGAACTCCGCTCTTCCTGACAATCATCGGCAGTTCAGGATCTGTCCTGCTCCGCTGTGGCTTTGCGGTAGTTCCCTCTGCCTTCTACCTACTACTGCTGCAGCCAACCACCCCCCTGCCCCGTGGCTCCTCTGCCCCGGGGAGGAAAAGACCGGAGCAAATCTCAAATGTTCCTGGGAGGGTTTTCGGGGAAGCCAGAAAACTGGGGAAGCCAGTTTTCTGGGAGGGTTTTCTGGAGCCAAGCATTAGCCAGGACCTGCAAATGAATGCCTTACCTGGCTGGCGTCCGGGAGACTCCTCAGCTGCGTCGCACCTGTCCAGGTAACCTGCCCTTGGAAGCAGCCGGCTTCCTTCAGCACCAGCCGCAGGGCTTCATGGCGACCGTCTCCTAAGTCCTGTGCCCTGGAAGCACCATCTTCGGCAGCCTGGAGCTCCCCTGCAAATGCGAAATCCAAGGGGTGCGCGGGTCTCCTCCGAGTTGTGCCTCCTGGTGCAACAGCCTGGGAGAAGCCGGCGGCAGCTGTTCCCGAGGCGGCGGCTCAGCGTTAACCCTGTGGGGCCTGGTCAGGTGGGCGTCCGGCTAATGCCCTCCTGCCAGCCGGGTAATTGGATTCAGGCCGGATTGACCTGCATTAGACCAGCAGGGATGGGACGGGCAAGGCGGCCGCCACTGGCACCCAGCGGGCTTCGCTGGCAGAGGCACGAGCTGGCCGTGTGGCCACTTAGCAGGCGGGGAGCACATATGGAAGAGGGCTTTGTGCATGGGCGTGTGTCTCTGCATAAAATTTATGCACCGCGTAGGGTGGGGGGAAAACCTCGAAGCGGTTTGCAGAAAGAGAGAACGGTAAATTTACGCAGAAAAATGCGCAGCAGTGGTTTGGAGCATGCAGGAGCGCACGCCGCGCGCATCCCGTCGGCTTCAGTTGCCGTTCTCCTTTAGTTGGTTCCTCGCAGACTTAACGTAGAGAATAAGAGAACAAGAAGAACAAATACGTTTAAAGAAGACTGGAAAACGTTTATTGAATAGTATGGGGAAAAAATTGTGTACACCTGAAAACGTTGGCAGCGGTTAAGATAAGTTCAACAGTGTAAATAAATTCTGATCTTCTTAACTGTATTTCAGTTCAACGATTACTTCTATAAAATACATATTTTGTGATGTGCAAATGGCTTTAGGTACCTATTAGGTCCATCAGTTACTGTATAGCCAATATATTCCAACACACACACAAATTCACTCATCAAACCTAAATCCGGGCCCTGGTTTTGAATGGGATGCAATAATGGAATACTGAATGGTTTAGTTTTTTGTAAAATTGCAGGGATTATTTGATATGCAAAATGGAACCATGGAAAAGAGGAGAAGTTCACTGATATTAAGGATTGCTAAAAAGGAGCTATTTTAAATTCAAAATGAACCAATGGAAAGAGGAAGGGTCAGTCACTGATATTTTAAGGATGCTAAAAGAGATGTAAATTATTTAAATTTCAAGGCCGGAAAGAGGCAAAAGCTACACATGCTCTTGAGCAACGGCACAGCAGAACAAGCCCCCCCATCCCGTCTCCCCCAGACTGCTTCCTTGGGGGAACATTATCCAGACCCTCCTAGGGACCCTATTTCCCAGGGACAGACCCAGATTGACAGAAGCCATCCCGGTTTCTGAACTGATCCCGGAATGTCCCGCTTTTCCTTAGGACATCCCTATTTTCATCGACGGAATGTTGGAAGATAAGGAGTTATTTGACTCCCTGAATGGAGGAGATAAGTAACTATGCAACCTTTAGAAGACATCTGAAGGCAGCCCTGTATAGGGAAGTTTTTTAATGTTTAATGTTTTATTATGTTTTTATATACGTTGGAAGCCCCCCCCCCAAGGTGACTCAGTGGGCAGGATGATATTATTATTATTATTATTATTATTATTACTACCCTATTTCATAGCTGTCAACTTTTCCCTTTTCTTGCGAGGAATCTTATTCGGAATAAGGGAATTTCCCTTTAAAAAATGGTAAATTTTGACAGCTATGCCCTATTTTCATTATGAAACCTGCAGTGGATGTTTAAAGAAGATGAATAAATGAGCAAATTAAGTTAATTAGGATATGCAGAAGATATTAAAAATAAATTTAAGGAACCGCAGAAAGAGGGGGGAGGAGTACAATATGGGCCTGTCTTTAAGTTAACACCTTGCAGTAAAAACCTGATGGTACCAAATTATCGAAGGCTTTTCACCAAAGCCAGACTCAACGTCTTTCCTTCTGCAGTGTTGGATGGCAGGTGGAGAGGAGTTCCCTACCAGGACAGACTTTGCTCGTGTGCTCAAGACATCGATTCCATAAAACATATTTTGCTGCACTGTGTCAAAATATGAGCAAGCCAGGGCTGAACTGATATTACCCTTGCTGGTACCTTTCCCTGGGAAAATCAGAGGCTCACTATGTCAGGTTCCTTATTGGAAGACCGGACAAACGCCAGAACATTAGCAGTGGTGAAGTTTTTATCGGTGGTTGCAAGGACCATTGATCCCTATTATTCTGAACAAAATGCTTGTTTAACCTGGAGGTAGGCTGTCTGAACTCTGCATTGCTTTGTAACGATTTGTTGGGTCTCTGGACCGTAATAAAGATTGACTGATTGATAAGAGCATCCTTTTTGGGGTTTAGATACAGGCGTTTTTGTGGCTCCAAGCAGACAACAGTGCAAAGATGCCTTCAAGCGGAGGTGGGCAGGCTGATTTTCAATGAACGTCCTTAAATCAATATATGGAGGCGCTTGGAGGGTATGGAAGAACAATTGTTGTCTGCCTAATTCTCTAAGAGCAGCTGCTTTGAGTTAGACGGAGGGAGCCTGTTCCGAGGTGACCCAGGGGGCTTTAAGTGATGCCAGCTGTTCCTGGGGTCTAGTGGGTTGCGGTCTGTAGGGGGCGGGGAGGGAGGGGCTGTGCCGGTGGAACAAACAGGCCCCGCAGCAAAACACGCAGAGCGCTGTTCTGGGCGAAAGGCCCTGCCTGGGTTCCCTCAGGACACACACAGACACACACAGGCCTTGGAAGAGAAGAAGAGAAGAGTTTTGGATTTGATATCCCGCTTTATCACTGCCCTGAAGGAGTCTCAAAGCGGCTAACATTCTCCTTTCCCTTCCTCCCCCACAACAAACACTCTGTGAGGTGAGTGGGACTGAGAGACTTCAAGAAGTGTGAGGAGCCCAAGGTCACCCAGCAGCTGCAGGTGGAGGAGCAGGGAAGCGAACCCAGTTCACCAGATTACAAGTCCACTGCTCTTAACCACTACACCACACTGGCTCTCTCTGGAGAAGAGGAAAGGTGGCAGCCAAAGGCAGAGAACCCACGTTCCACGCAGAAGGTCCTGGGTTCATCCCTGCTGGCGTCCCAGAAGAAGCTGGAAAGAGTCCTCTCTCTGAAACCGCAGAGCAGGCGCTGCAGGTCTGTGGATGTTAGAATTCCTGCTCCATGAATGCAGTCATGGGATGGTTGTCTTTCACATGACTCGAGTGTAGGATGAGCTCCTGACAGTGTAGGAAGCCCTGAGCTCAAGGGGTCGAGGGTCTGCGTCTATAAGGCAGCATCCCATGTCCTGGAGTGATTGAGAGGAGACTGAGAATTGGCGTTGGAGCCATCTTTCAAAAGAGGCCGACCGAGATGATCAAGGGTCTGGAAACGAAGCCTCATGACGAAAGGTTGGAGGAGCTCGGTATGTTTAGCCTGGAAAAGAGGAGATATGAGAGCTATCTTCTATCCCGTGGATGATGGCGCAAGCTTGTTTTCTGATGCTCCAGAGGGGAAAACCCAGCTCGGTGGATTCAAGTTACAGGAAAGGAGATTCCACGTGAACATCAGGAAGAACTTTCTGACGGTTGGAGATGTTTGGGGCCCTCATATCTATGGGGGCCCTTGTATCTACGAGACCACCTCTCCTGGTCTGCCCCTACAGAGGACCTTAAGGTCCATGAATAGTTTAGAGGTCCCGCGCCCTAAGGAAGTCATACTATCATCCACCAGGGCCAGGGCCTTTTCAGTGATGGCTCCGATCTGGTGGAATGCTCTGTCCCATGAGACCAGGGCCCTGCAGGATTTAACCTCCATTCCGCAGGGCCTGTAAGACAGAGCTATTCCGCCTGGCCTTTAATTTGAATTCAATCTGATTTTTTATTTCCCTTCTCTTCCCTCCCCCTCCCCTTTTATGAAGATCACCCGCTCTGAGACCCCACAGCTAATTCTCCCCTGGTCTCCTCGCTGGCCCAAGTAGGACCAATTCAGCCAGCTAGGCCTGGGGATTATCTAATGCTTATTTCCCCAAAATTGCTTTTTGAATTTTATTGTTATTCATGTTTTTATACTGTATTTTATGCTGCTTTTTATTTTTATTTATACCCCGCCCTTCCCAGTTCAAAAACCGGGCTCAGGGCAGCTAACAACAAATTTAAAACACTTAATTGTAAAAGTAGCACACTAAAGAATATGAAAAAGTTTTCCAAAGCTGTTTTTCAAAGATTGAACTGGATGAGACGTTCTCCAATGGTTCTTGAGTTGGAAACACAAAGCCATATGCATGGATCAATCACGAGAAGGCTAATCAAAGCCGCCACCCTGGTGAGAATAACGCAACGAGAACCTGTTCTCCGGATATATTACAGGTTTCGCTACACGCTTCATCCGTCCAAAAAGCTGCATGATACAAAATAGCACAATGTGTAAAGGTAAAGGGACCCCTGACCATTACGTCCAGTCGTGACCGACTCTGGGGTTGCGGCGCTCATCTCGCTTTATTGGCCAAGGGAGCCGGCGTACAGCTTCCGGGTCATGTAGCCAGCATGACTAAGCCGCTTCTGGCGAACCAGAGCAGCGCACGGAAACGCCATTTACCTTCCCGCCACAATGGTACCTATTTATCTACTTGCACTTTTGTGCTTTCGAACTGCTAGGTTGGCAGGAGCAGGGACCGAGCAACGGGAGCTCACCCCGTCGCAGGGATTCGAACCGCCGACCTTCTGATCAGCAAGTCCTAGGCTCTGTGGTTTAACCCACAGCGCCACCCGCGTCCCACATAACAATGTGTGGTAAACCATAAAAATTAGAAAATATCATACTACACCTTACCCAGTCATACAAAATGGTTTGCTCAGGATAAAGACAGTATTCACAGGCACAATCCTCTTTTATAGTAATAATAATAATAATAGTAATAAATTTTATTTATACCCCGCCTCCCCAGCTGAGACCGGGCTCAGGGTGGCTAACAACCAATAATAAAAACAAGTTGATTGAAATACAACTTAAAAACATGATTAAAATACCAACCCACAAGATTTTAAACCCATCCACGTTGGTGCTTAATGTAGGAGGGAGTTCCACAGTCTAACTCGGCACAGTGCAAAGAAAGACTTTGATCTGATTCTTCCAATGTTCACCTCTGCCAGATGTCTACTGGGTCTTGTGTTAGGAGAGAGGGAGAAAAACTCACCTTGCAAACTTCTAGCACATCACCTATCAGGAAGAGTTGTTGGACGACGGGACAGACTTTATCAGAAGGTTGTGGACTCTCCATCTGTTATGTACTGAGTTGAGTAGGATCCAAAAGGCAGCAGTCTGATTGGTCCTAGAACAATAGGGTCCAGAATGCAGCAGTCTGATTGGCCCTAGAACAATAGGGTCCAGAATGCAGCAGTCTGATTGGTCCTAGAACAATAGGGTCCAGAATGCAGCAGTCTGATTGGTCCTAGAACAATAGGATTCAGAATGCAGCAGTCTGATTGGTCCTAGAACAATGCAGCAGTCTGATTGGTCCGCAGGAGCCACCCAATCCAGCTCCAGGTGGAAGTGAATCCTCAACCTGATTGGCCTACAGGAGAATCCCAGAATTAGCCAATCATGTGGGGCCCATTGTGTAAATAATGTATATAAAGCAGACATTTCAGGGGAACTCCCATTCCTCACCACTATGGGCTGAATAAAGAGCATGAAATCCACTCTCAACTCCGAGTATATTTCACCGCCCTTGCAGGTTTCTAAGCAGAGGTTGGAGGGCCAGCTGTCAGGGATGCTTTAGCTGAGATTCCATCATTGCAGGGGATGGGACTAGATGACCCCTGGGGTCCCTTCCCAGTTCTAAATAATAATAATAATAATAATAATAATAATAATAATAATAATAATAATAACAACCCAAGCTGTGTGTAATAATAACCCAACCCCTTGCATGTACTCACCCAGACAGCAAGGCCGGTCGTGGCGCAGCGAGCACTCTGCTTTGCATTAAGCACACTCGCAAGTGGTGCACAGATCTTATTTATACTCCGCCCATCTGGCTGGGTTTCCCCAGCCACTCTTGGCAGCTTTCAACAGAATAATAATAATAATAATTTATTATTTGTACCCCGCCCGTCCAACTGGGCTTCCCCAGCCACTCTGGGTGGCTTCCCACAAAGACTAAAAATACATTAAAATGTCACACATTAAAAGCTTCCCTAAACAGGGCTGCCTTCAGATGTCTTCTAAATGTCAGGTAGTTGTTTATTTCCTTAACATCTGGTGGGAGGGTGTTCCACAGGACGGGCGCCACCACCCAGAAGGCCCTCTGACTGATTCCCTGCAACCTCGCTTCTTGCAGGGAGGGAACTGCCTGAAGGCCCTCGGAGCTGGACCTCAGTGTCCGGGCTAAACGATGGGGGTGGAGACGCTCCTTCAGATATACTGGACCAATTCTCTGATTCATTGGAAGTCTTGAAGCAGAGGTCAGAAGACCGTGTGTGAGAGGTGGAGAACCTGTTCAGGAAAATACAATTTCCCTCATATTTTCCCCATTGGATAATAGGAACAGTGGCAAGAGAAACTGGTGGATTATGCAGAACTGGCGAAATTGACGTACCAACTGCGAGACAAGGACAACCGTGACTTTAAAGAAGATGTTTCTATTATGCTTAATGTATGTAGGGTTTGGTGTCAGCATTGCCTGTGCTGTTCACTTGTGTTCCTTTGGTGGTGAGAGAGGTTGGGGTTGGCCTAGGGTGTGGCTGTTCATTTGTGGTTGGCTGTGGTGGTCTTTGTTTTCGTGTGTGAGTGGGGTGAGTGGGTGTTTTGGATCAGGTTAGCCATATTGACTTGTATGCTGTTGGTGGATTATCGTCATTGTCTTGTTGGGCTGTGTATGTGATAAAGGGGAGTCATACAGGGGTAAAGGCATCTTCTTCTGTTTGTCCCCATGTCAGTTTCAGTTTATTGGTTAATTTTTCTAGTAGGGCTGTTTCCCATACTATTTGGTACCACTGGTCCATGCTTACTCCTGACAGGTCTCTCCAGTGTCTGGTTATGGTGTTTCTGGCTGCTGAAGGTAGGTGGGTTGTGAGTTCTTTGTGGTGTAAATGGGCATTGCTGTCTTGGAAGATGTTTAGTAGGGCCAATTCTGGGGTGGTGTCTAATACTTGCAACTACATGCCCTTTTAAACAACCCAACAGTAAAATCAGCAGCAACTAGCAGCAACCGACAACCTTCAAAAACCTCCTCCTAACAACAAAGGGAAACGGTAAAGGGATGGTATCAGCAATATACAAAATACTACTCCAAAATCCCACAAACCCCCTAGACCCAATCAAAAAACAATGGGAGATTGACATAGGCTATGAGATTAAGCCCACTCAATGGACCAGAATGTGGGCGGTGTGTTTTCTGGCTGCGAAAGTTACAAGCTGGATGTCAGTGCATGGCTGGGAGGGAAGGCGGAGGCGGGGGGGGGGGGGACAGGACGGCAAGGTGTGCAGGGGGTGGGGGAACCCTTGCCTTGCGCCCATTCTAACACACACTCATCCTGGGTAATAGGCTTTGCTAACAAAGAGGATTAGCAGACTGGAGCAATTGAGAGGTTAGAAACATCGCAGCTACTAAGGGGGCCAGCTGGGGGTCATTGTGTGAGTGGGGAGGGGTGGGTGGGAGGGAGCTCAGCTGTGATTCCATCTCCCCTCTGCCCCACGCTCAGGAGATGGGCTCAGTGGGAGGGGGGGCTTTGGGGTTGGAACATCTCAGAAAGTCCGAGGTTGGATCCTGACCTCCTTCCAACACTACAATTCTTTTTGTCCGAATTTTTATTATTATTATTTTAACATAACAAATTATTTTTTTATATGCCTGTTGTCTTTGTCCATGGAGTTTTCTTGGCAGGGATACTGGAGTGGCTTGCCGGTTCCTGCTCCAGGTGGATCACGTTTGGTCAAAACTCTCCACTATGACCTGTCCATCTTGGGTGGCCCTGCACGGCATAGCTCATAGCTTCTCTGAGTTATTCAAGCCCCTTTGCCACGGCAAGGCTGCTTCTTGGGAGAAAAGCAATGACAAACCTAGACAGCATCTTAAAAAGCAGAGACATCACCTTGCCAACAAAGGTCCGTATAGTTCAAGCTATGGTTTTCCCAGTAGTGATGTATGGAAGTGAGAGCTGGACCATCAAGAAGGCTGATCGCCGAAGAATTGATGCTTTTGAATTCTGGTGCTGGAGGAGACTCTTGAGAGTCCCATGGACTGCAAGAAGATCAAACCTCTCCATTCTGAAGGAAATCAGCCCTGAGTGCTCACTGGAAGGACAGATCCTGAAGCTGAGGCTCCAAGACTTTGGCCACCTCATGAGAAGAGAAGACTCCCTTGAAAAGACCCTGATGTTGGGAAAGATGGAGGGCACAAGGAGAAGGGGACGATGGAGGACGAGATGGTGGGACAGTGTTCTCAAAGCTACCAGCATGAGTTTGACTAAACTGCGGGAGGCAGTGGAAGACAGGAATGCCTGGCGTGCTCTGGTCCATGGGGTCACGAAGAGGCGGACCCGACTAAACGACTAAACAACAACAACAAAGTATTTCAACAATTATATTTTTCCCCCCCATTTCCCCTCTCCCATCTCCGCATATCCTACGACTTCCCTCAGTTCCTCTCTCTGATTTATCAACACATATTGTTCTCTGCATGTTATAAAAATGTAAAAAAATCTCTAAATGATCCATCTGTTATGTTAACGAATAAATTTGTGTATGTTTATTCAAAACCTGCCAAGGAGTCCATTTTGTTGTTTCTTTAGGTACTTTGTAAGAGGTTCCCATTTTTCTTTAAAGTCACAGTTGTCCTTGTCACATAGTTTAGACATCAGTTTTGCCAGTTCCACATAGTCCATCAATTTTTCTTGCCACTATTCTTTGGCTGGGGTTTCTTCGTTCTTCCATCCTTGTGCTATTAAGACTCTTGCCGCCGTTGTCACATACATATATTCTTCATTTTCCTTGGTGGGTCTTTTTCCAACATTACAATTCTGATTCTACGATTTTAAATCAGAACGGCAGCTTCATAAAGGCCAGGCATAGTCTAACCCATGGGTAGGCAAACTAAGGCCCGGGGGCCAGATCAGGCCCAATCACCTTCTCAATCCGGCCCGCAGACGGTCCGGGAATCAGCGTGTTTTTACATTAGTAGAATGTGTGCTTTTATTTGAAATGCATCTCTGGGTTATTTGTGGGGCATAGGAATTCATTCATATATATTTTTTTCAAAATATAGTCTGGCCGCCAAGAAGGTCTGAGGGACAGTGGACCGACCCTCTGCTGAAAAAGTTTGCTGACCCCTGGTCTAACCACCTGGGTTGGACTTAAGGGAACGGTGGGATCTGTCAGGTGTGCATGCAGGAGCCAGGCCCTGTGACCAGTAGGGCTTTGCAGGACTGGGGCCTTCCTAAGTTTGTTCTGGAGAGGCAAGGCGCGGCCGCACAGGTGAGGCCAATTGGTAACTCACTGCACCTGGTGGCATAAGGGATATAAGGGATATAAGGTCAGCATTTCCCTTCAGCTCTTTGCCACAGCAACACGCTTCCTGCCTTGCTGCGTTTGGCTTCTTGCTTCCTGACCCTCGCACCCCTGCCTTTGTGACTCCTTGCTTCCTGACCCTCGGACCCCTGACTTTGTGACTCCTTGCTTCTTGATCCTCGCACCCCTGACTTTGTGACTCCTTGCTTCTTGATCCTCGGACCCTTGCTTCTTGATCTTGCACCCCTGCCTTCATGACTCCTTGCTTCTTGATCCTTGCACCCCTGACTTTGTGACTCCTTGCTTCTTGATCCTCGCACCCCTGACTTTGTGACTCCTTGCTTCTTGATCCTTGCACCCTGCCTTGTGACTCCTTGCTTCTTGATCCTTGGACCCCTGACTTAGTGACTCCTTGCTTCTTGACCCTAGGACCCCTGCCTTCGTGACTCCTTGCTTCTTGACTCTCGGACCCCTGACTTCGTGGCTCCTTGCTTCTTGATCCTCGGACCCCTGACTTCGTGACTCCTTGCTTCTTGATCCTCAGACCCCTGACTTCGTGACTCCTTGCTTCTTGATCCTCGGACCCCTGACTTCGTGACTCCTTGCTTCTTGATCCTTGCACCCCTGCCTTCGTGACTCCTTGCTTCTTGATCCTTGGACCCCTGCCTTCGTGACTCCTTGCTTCTTGATCCTTGCACCCCTGCCTTCGTGACTCCTTGATCCTTGATCCTCGGACCCCTGACTTCGTGACTCCTTGATCCTCGCACCCCTGACTTCGTGACCCCTTGCTTCCTGACCCTCGGACCCTTGGCTTCTTGGCTCCTGGCTTCTGGACCCCTGTTCCTGCTCCCACCCCGCCACCTTGCCCCCGGTTCTGATGTCCCCTGCTGGGACTTTGATCACCCGTGAACCAGACCGTGACAGGATATCTGGTGTGGGACTTGTCACGCACCTTCTGAGGTTGTTTGCCCATCTTTGGTCCCCAACCTGCACTCAGCACTCACCTGTGGCTCCCGGAAGCCGTCAGCATGACAGCGGCCACAATCCTGGGAAATGGCTTCGGCTGGCCGGCTAAACCAGGTGAGGGTAGCCGATGGGTCTCGAACTCTCAGGGAATTAGGGGCTTCCCCTGCAGCGAAGTCAGAGCTCCGGCCGATTGAGCAGACAAAACCAAGATTGGTCCCAGCGGACAAGAAGGCAGTTTCTGCACATGTTGTAGAGGGAAGTGTGGTGCTCATCTAGCTTTACTGACTGAGGGAGCCGCGTACAGCTTCTGTGTCCTGTGGCCAGCATGACTAAGCCGCTTCTGGCGAACCAGAGCAGCACACGGAAACGCCGTTTACCTTCCCACTGGAGTAGTACCAGTTACCTGTCCCCCTCTTGCTAAAGGTTTGTCCTTAATGAAAACTCACCCAAAACATCTAGACAGTGCCGCATCTGTACACTAGGGGGCAGCAGCATTCCAAGCAGCCTTCATCCCCCATTGACATACCGGGATGTCAATGTACCGTATTTTTTGCCCCATAGGGCGCACCGGCCCCAGGTTTCGGGCTGCAGGCTGCTGTCCGCAAGCCTTGGGAGCCCGGCGGGAACTCCCGCGGGCTCCCAAGGCTTGTGGATAGCTTCCTGAAGCCTGCATTCGCCCCATAGGACGCACACACATTTTCCCTTCATTTTTGGAGGGGGAAAAGTGTGTCCTATAGGGCAAAAAATACAGTATTTTCTCCTGCTAGCCACTCCAGTAGCCAGTGGGATAGCCATGTTTTTTTAGGCCCCGGGTGCTTTGCATCCAGAATGTGCAGCCTGATACACCAGCATTTTAATGATGGCGCCAATACTTGTTGCAAGCAAATTTATGCAGCTTTTTATTCCCAAGTATGCACGGAACCCAATACATCATCATCATCATCATCATCAACATCATTATTTATTTGATGGCACAACTGTGAATCATGCACAATACTTTATTCTCTCTCTTTATCATGGGAGAGGAAGGAATCACAAACACCCCTTTTGCTTTTGAGTATATTACACAACCTCAAGCTCCAGTTGAGGTGGAATTAGGAAACAAATAAGTCAATAAGTCAATAAAATGTACCTAAAGGGAGCCCTTTAATATCAACAACCTCAGATATGCAGATGACACAACCTTGATGGCAGAAAGTGAGGAGGAATTAAAGAACCTTTTAATGAGGGTGAAAGAGGAGAGCACAAAATATGGTCTGAAGCTCAACATCAAAAAAACGAAGATCATGGCCACTGGTCCCATCACCTCCTGGCAAATAGAAGGGGAAGAAATGGAGGCAGTGAGAGATTTTACTTTCTTGGGCTCCATGATCACTGCACATAGGCGCCGACTCCATGGGGCTTGAGGGGGCCCGAGCCCCCTCAAAAATTCGTTTGGGGGGGCTCCGCCCCCCCAATAATCTCCGGCGCCCCTCCAGCAGAGCGCCATCGCCGCCCCTCCCCCAGCCCAAAATGCACAGGGAGGGGCGGGCTGCATGCCTCCTGCCCTCCCTCCCGAGCAAAAGCTCCACCCAATTTCCTTTGGAGCTGATTAATAGGCGCAGCACGCTCTCCCCTATTCGCTCACGAGGAGGCGGCGCCACTTTATTTGCATATTCATGAGCTTATTTATTATTCATGAGCTTTCCCGGGCCCCCCCAATATTTTTTATAAGTCCGCGTCCCTGTCACTGCAGATGGTGACAGCAGCCACGAAATTAAAAGACGCCTGCTTCTTGGGAGAAAAGCAATGACAAACCTAGACAGCATCTTAAAAAGCAGAGACATCACCTTGCCGACAAAGGTCCATATAGTTAAAGCTCTGGTTTTCCCAGTGGTGATGTATGGAAGTGAGAACTGGGCCATAAAGAAGGCTGATCACCAAAGAATTGACGCTTTTGAATTCTGGTGCGGGAGGAGACTCTTGAGAGTCCCATGGACTGCAAGAAGATCAAACCTCTCCATTCTGAAGGAAATCAGCCCTGAGTGCTCACTGGAAGGACAGATCGTGAAGCTGAGGCGCCAAGACTTTGGCCACCTCATGAGAAGAGAAGACTCCCTGGAAAAGACCCTGATGTTAGGAAAGATGGAGGGCACAAGGAGAAGGGGACGACAGAGGACAAGATGGTGGGACAGTGTTCTCGAAGAGACCAGCATGAGTTTGACCAAACTGCGGGAGGCAGTGGAAGACAGGAGTGCCTGGCATACTCTGGTCCATGGGGTCACGAAGAGTCGGACACGACTAAATGAATAAACAACAAAAGGGAGCCCTGCTCACTGAGCCCAGTATCCTGTCTCTGATAGTGGTCAGAGGGATACTTACATGCTTACTCTCACGTTAATCTGAAGGGAACCCCCTCCTGCTGCACCTCTGCATTGGATTAAGAGCCCCCTGTCTGATTCTCTGCCCCCAGGGAAGCCTCCTTTGCCCCCATTCCAGCCCCACTTTCCACTCCACCCCTCAAGTGCCACCTTCCTTAAGAAAATCACAAGAGCCTGATGGGTCAGGCCGATGGTCCCTCTAGGCCAGCGTCCTGCTCCCGCAGCAGCCAGCCAGACGCCCAGGATTTGAACACAAGACCAACTCCCCCCTCTTGTGGTTTCCAAAAACCAGTGGTCAAAAGCATCCCTGCCTTCCCTCGTGGAGGCAGAGCACAGCTATCATGGCATGGAAGTAGCCAGGATTTGGGGAGGGCAGAACCTCAAATTTGTACAGTGGTACCTCGGGTTACAGACGCTTCAGGTTACAGACTCCGCTAACCCAGAAATATTACCTCGTGTTAAGAACTTTGCTTCAGGATGAGAACAGAAATCGTGCTCTGGCGGCAGCAGGAGGCCCCATTAGCTAAAGTGGTGCTTCAGGTTAAGAACAGTTTCAGGTTAAGAGCGGACCTCCGGAACGAATTAAGTTCTTAACCCAAGGTACCACTATATTGGTTTTTATTGATTTTGATATTATTATTATTATTATTATTATTATTATTATTATTTTATTATTATTATTATTATTATTATTATTATTATTATTAATGATAATAATAATTTACTATTTATACCCCGCTCATCTGGCTGGGCTTCCCCAGCCACTCTGGGTGGTTCAGAATATTAAAATACAATAATCTTTTAACATTAAAAGCTTCCCTAAACAGGGCTGCCTTCAGATGTCTTCTAAAAGTCTGGTACAGTGGTACCTCGGGTTAAGAACTTAATTCATTCTGGAGGTCCTTTCTTAACCTGAAACTGCTCTTAACCTGAAGCACCACTTTAGCTAATGGGGCCTCCCGCTGCCGCCGTGCCGCCAGAGCACGATTTCTGTTCTCCTCCTGAAGCAAAGTTCTTAACCTGAGGTACTATTTCTGGGTTAGCAGAGTCTGTAACCTGAAGCGTATGTAACCTGAAGCGTCTGTAACCCAAGGTACCACTGTAGTTGTTTTTCTCTTTGACATCAGCTGGAAGGGCGTTCCACAGGGCGGGCGCCACCACCGAGAAGGCCCTCTGCCTGGCTCCCCGTAACCTCACTTCTCGCAGGGAGGGAACTTCGGAGCTGGACCTCAGTTCGAATCCTGATTGCGGGTTTCCCATGATGGGTATCTGGTTGGCCACTGTGATCACAGGATGCTGGAATAAATGAACCACAGGCCTCATCCAGCAGGCGTTTCTGATGCAGTGACGGATGCTGCCCATGGCTGCCTCCTGCGGGCGCGCGTTCCGCCGTTTAACCGTGCGCTCCTTTCCGCGCTCCTGCTGCTGCTGCTTCTGATCCGGAGCCGGGATCCGCCTCGGGTTTTCGCTCCCACCCCGGGAGCTGCGGGTCCTGCCCGAGCCGAGCCTCTCTCTCCCCCTTGCTCCCCCCGTGGGGCGGTGTGGGGTGGGCTCAGCCCCGCATCGCCGGCGAAGGAGGAGCAGGGACGGGCTTGCACGGCGGCGTCGCCCATCCTCACCCAACCCCTTTCCTCCTCCTCCTCCTTGCAGACCTTTCCCCTTCTCAGGGCTCGCTGTGGGGAAGGGGCTGCTTGAGTCCCCCATCCCCACACCTGGAAAGGACCCTGCCCCATCGCCGGAGCGCCCGCGGCGAACCTTCCGCGCCCGCGCGCATCTGGGCGCATCTGGCACCGCATCCCTCCGTCCATCTCCGCGGCTTCCTAGGGCTGGAGAGGAGCCCCTGCCCCATCGCCGCCGCCTCTGGGTGCCCCCCGATGAATCTGGGGCGCAGGGGCCATGCCGGGGTGCTGGCAGCTCTACGCCGTCCAGTGGGCGGCGCTGGCCCTTCAGGGCGCCTGGCACAGCCTCCCGGGGGCCGCCCAGGAAACCCCCCTCCACTACTATGGGGATAACGGTGAGTCCGAGCTCCTGGCTCTCTCTGGGGGGTGGCACATCTATTTTGGGACCCCCTGAGAATCGGGGTCTGGTTCCTGAACCGCAGAGGGTTGGGCTAGATGGCCTTTGGTGTTCCCTTCCAATTCTACGGTTCTCTCATTCCATGACCCTCTTAGGGACAGGGCCAGGAAACGTTTCTTCCAGAGCCTAGCCGGATTAGTCTATGCGTCCCTCTCCAGGTATTTGGGGTCCGTTCATTAACATGGCTTTACGGTTTGCAAAACTGGGTTATAGTCTGTGTTTTCCTCCAGTTTCTAAATCCTGAAATAGTAGCCAGGCGCCATACCCGTTCCACGTTTTTAAAGAAATCCATCTTTTCCTGTGGAACTCCCTGCCACTTGGACATCCAGCCAGGCGTCTCTGCTGTGCTCTTTTCTGCGCCTGCTAAAACAATATTTTTTTTCTTAGCCAAGTCTACCCAGATATCTTGAATGTGGATCAGTGTGTTCAAATCTGCTTTTAGTTTCTTGCTTCTCTTAATTTCTTGACAGAGAAATCTGGATATATTTCTTTTGCCCTTGGCTTTGAATAAGTTATATTTTGTATATTATGAATGTCACCTGCCAAAACGTCTTGACACTCGTCTGCATTCCCTCTTCATATTTATTTTTGAAGATGTTACACCTTTATTTTTGTTAAATTTCTTTTTAAAGTTTATGTGAGATGCCATTGAGGGAGTGTCTTCTCATGACAAATAACACTGTACAATCCTATATACAGGCGAATAAATTCTATTGGTTAAATGGATGGCAGGGTTTTGAGGTTGGCTGTGGACAGAAAAGGGGGGATACGTTGGGAGCTTAGATTTGTTCTGCAATGTTGCTGTTAAGCCTCTGAAGTTCTGATAACTCAACCATCTGTAACATACAATGCCTAGTAACTAGGTATTGCAACTTTAAAAAGTGGAAAGTGAAATATTTACCGTAATTTGAGGGTTGTCTGTTTGTTTGTTTGTTAAATTTCTATACAGCACTTCGTCCGAGGATCACAGGACAGTTTACATTTTAAATAATTGCTTTTAGCTGCTTTTACTGGTTTTATTCTTTCTGGAAACTGCTGTCGGGTCCTGGGTTCAAATCTCCAGGACCTTCAGGCAAGACTGGGTGAGTCCACCCAGGGTGAAACCCTGGCCAGCTGCTGCCAGCCAGTGCAAGCAGTATGCAGCTAGATGGACTAATGGAGTTACTCAGTATTAGACGGCTTTCTGTGTACCTCTTTGGAAAGATTCCTGGCTCAGTGCTAAGCTTGGCAAGCAGAATGTCCCAGGTTCAGACCCTGATGGTCTCCTCAGGCAGAACTAGCACAGGCCCCGCCTGAAACCTTGCTGAGCTGTTGGCAGTCCGTGTTGGTAATACTGAGCTGCGTGGACCAGGGCTCTTCCTTGATGCAAGGCAGATTCTCATGTTCTGCATTCAAAAGACACTCAATTTTTAAATGTGGCAGCATCTACACTGCAGAACTCCCTGCCTATTGATAGCAGGCAGTCACCTTCAAATCCCGTTTTTTCGGCACCTCCAAAAAACATTTTTGTCTAGACTAGCCTCTCCAGATGTTTACAGAGTTCGTGCAAGCTCTGTTTTTGGCCTATCCTCATTTTAACTTCAGGAATGCATTAAATTATTGTTGCCGTTTTTCCTGGGTGGTAATTTTATTGCTTTATCTTATTTTGTGAAACATGTCGAAGGTTCTTTTTTTATTGTTGAAAACAAATACAATCAAGCTGTGTACACATTTTACGAAATAAACAATAAATGTTCCCACGAACTCACAGAGGGAAATTGAGCGTTTTCCTTTATGGGATTCAATTTTACTGGAGCCCAAACTGGCCCATTTTGCACTTAGATCATAGATCATAGGGCTGTGGAATTGGAAGGGACCCTAAGGATCATCTAGTCCAATCCCCCGCAATGCAGCAATTTTTTGCCCCATGTGAGACTCGAACCCACACCCTGAGAGTTTAGAGTCTCGTGCTCTACTGACTGAGCTATCCCAGTATCCCAGACTCTACTTTGGCGGCTGGATGGAAAAGCAACTGTTCGCATCTCCTCTTTGCTAGAGCACATTGGGCAGAACCTTCCTCTGTCCTCTGGGTTCCCTGAGGCAGGATCCAGCCAATTTTGCATTTAAGAGCATTCTTCTTCCCTTCCCGCTGGAGTCAATGAGACTTCAGACTGTTTCGCGTTCCCTGGATCAGGCACCAAAATAGCCAATTATGCCTGGACTGGAAAGAGTGGAGAGCAGTTTTCCTCGCTCTCCTGAATGTTCAAAGACGCAGGACAGATAATAATAATAATAATAATAATAATAATAATAATAATAATATTTTATGTATACCCCGCCCTTCCCGGTTCAAAAACCAGGCTCAGGGCGGCTAACAACAAATTTAAAGCACTTTAATTATAAAAGCAGCATAAAATACAGTATTAAAACATGATTAACAATAAAATTCAAAAATCAATTTTGGGGAAATAAGCATTAGATAATCCCCAGGCCTAGCTGGCTGAGTTGGTCCTACTTGGGCCAGCGAGGAGACCAGGGGAGAATTAGCTGTGGGATCCCAGAGCGGGTGATCTTCATAGAAAGGGGAGGGGGAGGGAAGGAAGGGGAATAAAAGATCAGGCTAAGTTCAAATTGAAAGCCAGGCAGAATAGCTCTGTCTTACAGGCCCTGAGGAAGGAAGCTCAATCCTGCAGGGCCCTGGTCTCATGGGACAGAGCATTCCACCAGGTAGGAGCCATCACTGAGAAGGCCCTGGCCCTGGAGGAGGATAATCTGACTTCCTTAGGGCCAAGGACCTCTAAACTATGATTATTCATGGACCTTAAGGTCCTCTGCGGGGCAGACCAGGAGAGGCGGTCCCGTAAATACGAGGGCGCTAAGCCACAAAGGGCTTTAAAAGTCAAAACCAGCACCCTGAACCTGACCCAATACTCCACCGGGAGCCAGTGCAACTGGTAAAGCACTGGGTGAATATACTCCCATGGCAGGGACCCCGTGAGGAGCCTTGCTGCAGCATTCTGCACCCGCTGGAGTTTCCGGGGCAGCCCTGCGTAGAGCGAATTACAGTAGTCAAGCCTGGAGCTGACCGTCACATGGATCACTGTGGCACGGTCGGGGCGGGAAAGGTAAGGTAAAAGGTCAAGGTAAAGGGACCTCTGACCATTAGGTCCAGTCGTGGCCGACTCTGGGGTTGCGGCGCTCATCTGGGGTTGCGGCGAACCAGAGCAGTGCACGGAAACACTGTTTGCCTTCCCGCCGCAGTGGGACCTATTATCTACTTGCACTTTGACGTGCTTTTGAACTGCTAGGTTGGCAGGAGGAGGGACCGAGCAACGGGAGCTCACCCCGTCGCAGGGATTCGAACTGCTGACCTTCCGATAGGCAAGTCCTAGGCTCTGTGGTTTAACCCACAGTGCCACCCGTGTCTCCATAAAGGTAAGGGACCAACTGCTTAATGGTGTCTTTCTGGTTCCCGTGGCTTGCAAACAGCTTTACAATGCAATGGGGGGAAAGAGGCACGGAAATATTGGCAGCAGCTGGGGCAGGGTTTCACTTCTGTCTTTTCTCAGTCCACTCACCCAACTCCAGGCCGAGGGTTGACCACATATTCCAAAGGCCACTCGGCATCCGGGGCCTAGACGCTCTCTCTCCTCCCCCCACATTCCAGTCTGCCTCCCCCCAGTTCCATTGGAGCAGCCCCAGCTGTTGTTAATTAAACTGGGATCAGGAGGGGTTTTCTGGGAAAAGCGCCCGGGCACCGCTCAGTCCTGGCCGAGCTCTCGACAAAGGGAGCGTTGCCTTTTGCACATGGAAGTTATGTGGGCCGGGGGACGCATCTGCCCGCAAATGATTCACAGTGACAGCCCCGGACTTTGGGGTTGTTTTTTTTGCAAATCCAGCAGAGGGACCTACGAAGGGCATGCACAGATGTGCGCCCAATGTCACAGCTGGCTTGGGAGAGTCTCCTTCACCATCTCTCTCGCGCACAGGGCGCCACATCGATGTGGCAAGCGTTTCTGCCATGCGGACACAAGAACATCGGAAGAGGCCTGCAGGATCTAGTCATAGCTGTCACCTTTTCCCTTTCCTTGCGAGGAATCCTATTCGGAATAAGGGAATTTCCCTTTAAAAAAAGGGAAACGTTGACAGCTATGGATCTAGTCAGATGCGCAAGCAGGATTCGAACGCAAGACCCCTCTCCTTTCCTGCGGCTTCCAAAATCTGTTTGGGTTTTTTAATAAAAAAATTTATTCATTTTCTTTTTCATTCATTACATACATCTCAATTTCTTTTCTTTCTTTATAATATTTTTATTAGGGTTTTTACATTACAAAATAGAAAAAGAAAAAAGAAAGCATACAAATAAAAGTAGTTAAAAACATCAATCTTTTCATCACATTATTTTTCATTTACTTGTTTCTCAGACCTCCTCGGACCTCCCTTTTTTGTATTCCAGTTCAAATTATTAGCTCAGCAGTTTCTTTCCCTCTTGTTTACCCAGGATCCATCTATGCAGTGCTATTTTTCTATTAAAAAAAATAATAATGTGCTGGAACTCACCATGAACACCTCCCTTGTTCTCTTATAATGGCAATGGTGCCCACCTGAGAGGTGCTAGAATGGAGTTCCAATAAGTTCTAGCTGAAAAAAAGCCCTAGTCTTGTGTCAGTAAGATGTCAAAAATTCCTAAGACCAGTCACTATACATACAGTGAATAAGAAATACATCTTCTTACACAAATGTTCCACCTTTCTTCCATCATGGAGCCCAAGGTGACATCTATAAGTGGTTCTCAGGAGAGATTCCATTCAGACACTGATTTCCCACTTAAATTCAGCTGTTGAAAAAAAATAATAATAACCCACCAGCAATGCTGGTGAAAACAAAGTCCTAGGCTCAGAATGTTCTGAGAGGCCCTCTGTTCTTTAATTCTACTTATATGTACTTTGCACATGGCTC